GGGAGAACCATTTTCAGCTCCCAATGCAAGTGGGAAATATCTCTGCCTGCCAAAATGGTTTCGCTCTTATCCTCTCTGACACAGCCGTAGACTTAGCTACCAGGAAGGAGCCAGGAAGCGCTCAGGTGGTAGAGTCAGAGCTGAGGCCTTAAAACAGCCTTCCCTGGACTTAACAATCAAGTCTCATAATTACCTGTGTAATAAGGAGCCTGAAGCAAAGAGGGGAGAGGCCAATATAGACACTGGGACAAGAGTAATTTAGAATATAAGGAGAGGATACGAACTGGATATGAACTCTTCCCTTTATCATACTGGTTAAAGGATATCTTAAGCTTCTTGGTGAAAGGAACTAGAGTTTTATTCTCAAACCTTAATCATTTACAGATGGGACATAGAAACTGGTGTAATAAACTGTATACAGCTCTCCTTAGAGTGTCTGATGCTTTTAAATACCTTTCCAAAATCCTCAATTAAAGGAAGCCCTCTCAGTACTGCTGTACGTAGACACCTGGACTGGATGAACTTGGCTTCACTATTCCATAGTCTACCTTAAATGGGTTCACATGGTTTCACCCTTGCTCCCCAAAGACTATACTTCATATAGTAGCCAGAGATTTTATTGATATTGGAGCAAGTTTAAGTTTAGATATGCATTAACTTTGATTTTTTTGTTTTGTGAAACAGAACAGGACTCTATGACTTAAACTGATAATAACAGGCTAATGTAATCATTGTGGCGGGCTGTTTAAAATTAAAGCCAATTTACCTGCTATAGTTCATGTGAAATGCAAAGGTAGTCAAAATAGACTGAACAGACACCAAAGCCTTGTCTCCTAAACGTATGTAGATATGATTTAATTTTTAATTTTCTTTTTCTTTTTTTTTTTTTTTTAGATGAGCCATCCTGCCACCTGTTGGCAGCTCAGCGGCTGCTCAGCTTGGGCCGGGACTCGAACTGCTGTTGCTCAGAGCTCAAAATGATTTAATTTTTAAAATAATATAATAAACTGTGGTGGTTGTTTGAATACCAAATATTTATGAGATAAAGTTATTTTTCACAGTCTGCCTGATTTAAGCAGGTGTTAAGGTCACAAAGAATCCGGCTTTGGGAACGCTCATAATTTTGTGATAGTCTATGATAAAGTCTATTATTTTAAACTTAATTTTAATTTTATATTGCAACATAGTTACTTCCTATCAATTCTTGCAAATGACTAAAAAACCTTATCGATAGGTTCATGGAATTTATTTGTATCACTTGAATTAATAATCAATTAATGGTGGCTCCTTAGCATATGTGATATCTGTGACACTCTAGGGTCAAGTTTACTGCAGAGATAAAATAGAAAATTAGGAATCTTCACAGAGGAGCAGATGTGGGTTCACTGTCCTAATCTGCAGGCCTTTGGTTGCAATACTGCTTGCTGTGCCTGGGAGATCTAAGCGAGACAGCCTCAACCAAAAA